ATAAATATCTGTAAATAGATACTTTAATATTGATATGCAAATATAACAAGGAGAAGGGGTTCTGTGCAAGATCATTGGACATGTGCACTGCGGATAAATAGAAGCTGTGGAGGCGACATGATAAAGGGAAAAGGCAATGTAAAATTGAGGTGGAAAGTTCTGCCCTTACTCCTGATTACTTAAGGAGCAAGGAAAAAGAACTGGAATAAAAAAAAAGGTATAAGAAGAAAAAGAGAAAAAGATGAATAAAGAGAAGCCCGAGAAAGAGGCAGAAAGGACAGGAAGAAAAGAAGAGGGAATCTTGTGGGGGAGAAGCTAATAATAAATAAAGATAAATAGAACTGAAGTCTGTGGCACAACTCAATAAGCTAATGGCCCGTTTGGTTGCTGAAAAGATGAGTTGAAATGGGCAGAAAGCCTGTCAAAACTAACAAAAACTGTCAATTTTGACAGGCTTTCTTGTAAAAATGCCCTCAAAAATAGTGTTTTTGCAAGAAAGTCCGCCAAAACTGACAGCAGGCTTTCCCAAGCCCTCTTCAGCAACCAAACGGCCCCTAAAGCTCACAGTTATGGCCTTTGAAGTACTCTTTTGCGCTTAATCCCTAAGAAAGCTCCTTTGTTAGGAACAAGTTCAGACTTGTACAAGTATCAAAAGAAATAGAACTGAAGTGAAACAGTAATGGGAAAGAATATGGGAGTTGCTTCCGACCCCTTCAATGCAGTAAAAGATTGTACCTTCACAGCTTATGAAACCAATGCATAGAGATGAAAGGATTTATGTATGGGGAAACACTAGAGGCACACCCTTAGACCATACTCCCAACCACATCCCTCTCCTAGCTACAGTGTTTTTAGGTTTTTTAAATAAAGCATGTGGGCCCCAAAAACACTGTAGCTAGGAGAGGGATGTGGTTGGGAGTGTGGTTTAAGGGTGTACCTCTAGTGTTTCCCGTATGTTTGAGCCTTCAATACTTGAGTACATTCCTGCAGATTTCAAGAATCATAAAAGTAACCCTGTGGATTTCAAAATCCACAAAAACTACCCCTGTAGTTTTAGAAATCTGAGAAAGGTCCCCAAGGCAATTATAACTAGTTTCAGGGCTTCAAAGAACTACTGTAAAGTGTAAAGATGTTGAGGACTGTTCTAAGACAATTTGAAAAGAGTTGAGAAGGCACTAGGATAATAGTTATGTTATGTGCTTGTATTAGGAAATTAAGTCTAGCGAGAGTTAAGAAGCAACCCTTGCAAGTTGAGTATCTTTATAAGCTGTATACATGTCAAATGTCTGTGCTACATGCTAGCATTAAGGCATTGTAAAAGTATCTTTTAGCACATGAAAGTAGACCAAAGGTACAAATAAAAATGTAAACTAGGTGCAGGTATAAAGTTATAGGGCTCAACACAAATATAATACCTGATCTATTATCAGCACTGATATATAGCTGCCTGTGGAAAATATATCTCATGTGTATATATATTATATGACAACATACACTAAATCTATATCCGTTTAATCTCATATTAATAGTATAATAGAGCATTACATGAATTGTTTAATCTGAAGCGTGGAACACCTACATTACGTACAGAATAATAACAAGCACCAGTTCAGGCATTCAATTTGGCAAATAAGTTCAGAATTAACAAGCACTAGTGCAGAATAACTAAACCGAAAGGACGTAGTTCAGCACATAAAACTTCACCCCCTATACATCTTCACAAAGATAGGGTTTGATATCTCCTCAAGTTCCTTCTTCTTACACTCAAACTCCTCGGTATGAGCCAACTGATTATCCTCGAGCCACTTGATCGCTCGCTCAATTGCGTTATTGATCCTTCTCTTATCAGCAAAGCCCATCTTGGATGAAACCTTGTCATCCCCCATTTTGTTCCTCAAAAGGTACGTGTAGGTCTCCAGTGCATTCCTGGCCTCAACTCTTCTCTTGTTCGCTTCATCTTCTGCCTTAAACCTTTCAGCCACGAGAACCATCTTCTCAATCTCCTCTTTGCTCAGCCTTCCCTTATCATTAGTAATGGTGATCTTGTTCTTCTGCCCCGATGTCTTCTCTTCAGCAGAGACATTCAAGATTCCATTGACATCTATATCAAAGCACACATTAATCTTTGGAACACCTCTGGGAGCAGGAATAATTCCATTAAGATCAAACTTGCCGAGCAAATTGTTATCCTTGGTCATCGTTCTTTCCCCTTCAAAGATTTGGATGAGGACACCAGTTTGGTTATCAGCAGTCGTACTAAAGTTATCTTTCTCCTTTGTGGTTGGAATTGGGGTATTTCGTGGGATTAAGACTGAAGTAACTCCTCCAAGTGTTTCTATGCCAAGTGATAAAGGGGTTACATCCATTAACAACAAGTCTTGTACAATTTCATCATTTTCTCCACTCAGAACCGCAGCTTGAACAGCAGCACCGTAGGCGACGGCTTCATCAGGATTAATGCTCCTGCAAAGCTCCTTCCCGTTGAAGAATCTGGAAGCAACTGCTGTCAACCGTTAGTATTCCTTGTCTGATCCACCAACAAGAACAACTTCATGAATTGAGCTCTTGTCCATCTCTGCATCTTTCACACATTTCTCTACAGGTTCAATACACTTTTGAAACAGATCCAAATTCAGCTCTTCAAACTTGGCACGAGTGATATTCGCATAGAAATCAATGCCTTCATAGAGAGCATCACACTCAATCATCGTCTGGGTAATCGAGGAAAGAGTCCTTTTTGCCCTCTCACAGGATGTCCTTAGCCTCCTTGAGAGCTCTGGCGTTCCTGCTGATGTCTTTTATATGCACTTCCATCTTGAATTCCTGAACAAAGTGGTTGAGCATCCTATTGTCAAAGTCCTCTCCACCGAGGTGGGTGTCTCCGGCTGTGGCCTTCACCTGAAAGAGGCTCTCTTCAATTGCAAGACAAGAAACATCAAAGGTGCCACCGCCAAGGTCAAAGATGAGGATATTTCTCTCGTCAACACCTGTCATCTTTTTCTCAAGACCATAAGCAATAGCGGCAGCAGTGGGCTCATTTATGATGCGCTTGACATTCAGGCCAGCAATAACACCAGCATCCTTAGTCGCCTGGCGCTGAGAGTCGTTGAAGTAGGCAGGAACCGTGATGACGGCGTCCTTGACAGTGGAGCCTATGTAAGTCTCTGCAATTTCATGCATCTTCGCTAACACCATAGATGAGATTTCTTCTGGGAAAAACGGTTTCTCCTCTCCCTTATACTGCACAACTATCTTAGGCTTGTCGCCAGCACCAGAGATCACCTTGAATGGCCATAGCTTGATGTCATTCTGCACAGAAGAATCACTGAATCTCCGGCCTATCAAACGCTTCGCATCTGAAATGGTGATATGTAGTCAAAAATAGTTTTGCGGTGGACAGACCTCTTGTAGTTCTATTGGTGAGGATAGATCCCAATTGCTAATATTCTTTTACTGTTAAAAGAGTTAAAAAAGTTCAATGAGGGAGCCGACGTACCCCACTTAGGTTAATACTAAAGGGGTCTATTCGCACAAATAGAACTACATGAGATCTATCTGCAACTGGGTGATAGGACAAGGGGTCTAGTCGCAATTAACCCTTTGATTTAGAGCCCATGTAGTAGAAATGCAAAAAATATGTATGAAAATCGGATTGGTTTTGGGTATATGGAAACTAATTTGGGCCTTCTTGTTATCAGATCACTGATATTAATAAGGGTTTTCTTTTCCTAGAAACTACCTTATAATTATATGAAAATCACTATTTATTTTCAATCTATGCATAAACCACATTCAAAGTGAGTTTTAGTTGCGATCAACAATCTCCTGGTCAAAATTTTCACTAGAAATCCAAAATTACCCTTAAAAACTCACATTCAAAGCACATGACTGATTTTTTGTTGTGTAGGTCTTGTTAAAGTACAACTCACGAACCAGGCTTAATTATTATTGGATTTTTATTGAAAATTTGGGAGGTGGTTGATTGCAATAAAAAGCTACTTTAAAGCGTATAAATTGAAATTGAAAGGCCGTTTCCGTATAATTACCCTATTTTTAAGGTGGCTAATTTCTAGGGGGAAAACCTATTAATAACATAAACATATCGATCTCACCAGCTAAAAACTAGTTTCATCGGTTTTTGATCTCTTGGGCTCGCCGGCCGGCTCAGGCCATGGATTCATCGGAGTTGATGAACAACAGAAACATCCTTAATTTACACCACGACCGCTGCAAACGTTTTACCAGGCCAATACAGAAAACCCTAAAAAATCCACACACAAAAAAAAAATTTCGAGATGAGGGTGCGCGCTGAAGACTGACCGAAGTCGGTGTTGACCGGATTCATCGCGGCCTGGTTCTTGGCGGCGTCGCCGACGAACCGCTCTGGTCGGTGAACGCCACAGTAGGACGGCGTCGTCTGTTGCCCTGGTCGTTGGCGATGATCTCGACTCCGGCCGTGCTGGTAGACCCGACGCAGGAGTAGGTCGTCCCGAGATCGATCCGATCGCGGCGGCGCGGGGCCCGCTCCGCCGGCTAAACGTTCTTGGTCATGCTGTTCTCGATCGAGGTTCGACCGAAGCCCTCGACGATGATCGGAGGAGAGGTGAAGGGGATTGAGTGGGGTTTATTTTCCACTACTTTTTTTTTTTGTAGTGGAAGTGGAGAGGGTCCTTTTGCGTAGCTTGCTGCCAACGCTTCTTCGTACAATGGGGGGAGGAAAACGATGGGGCGGGAAATTTGGGGTGTGTTTGGTTCATTTTTGGGATTTGTGGGCCCCGGACATCTTTTGTGTTACAATAGATATATATATTCGAATTATCTCCAATTACATAATAATTAGAGGGCGAGCCGCTACAAACTAATTGTCTCTCTATCCCTTATCTCATTCTAACAATGTTAGAGCAAGTCCAGCAGCTCCCACCCCACCTCTAAGGCTGAGGGCGGTGGGAGCTTGCTGGACTTGCTCCAGCAAGCTCCCAAGGGAGCTCTGAGAGCTTCCGTGGCACAAAACCTAGGGTTTTGTGCCACGGAGGCTCCAAGCGCTCCCAAATTTGTACGGCAGCCGCCCTTGGAGCTCTCAAGCAATTAAAAAATATTTTTTTTTATAAAAAACTCCTTGCTTTTTTATCTTTGCAATAGAAGAGAGATTTTTTGATAGAAGAGAGGTTTTTTTGATAGGTTTTTTGATAGAAGAGGGGTTTTTGATATTGTTAGAGCTCCTAACTAGGAGCTTGTTGGAGCTCCATAAAATAAGGAGATGCTCCCAAGACTTATTTTTATAATTTTTTATACTAAAATGCTTAAGAGCTCTTGAGAGCTTGCTGACTAGGACTCCCAACTGGGAGCTTGCTGGACTTGCTCTTATAAAGCCGTGTGTAGAGTTCGCATGGTTACGATACTCATTTTCGCAACGGTGGTTTTAAAGACAACAGTAGTTTCGAAGATAATGTTGGAAGTCTTACGTGCTCTCGTATCAGCCGTTGGAATTGAAATAGCAAGACAGAATCGAAGTAATTAAAGGAAGAAGCTTGCGGGCGACATGGTGGTGATTCCGGTTGGGTTTGGTAGAGTCCAGCTCAGCAAAGTACTTGTTGGGCAAATCCTCCCACATGTTGGGACAAACCCGGGGCCCAATAAAGCAGGGTCGCAGCAATAATATAACAAAAGTAGAGATAAAATGATAGATACACAGATTTACGCGGTTCGGCACTTGATTGTCTACGTCCACGGGCAATGATAGAGGAATCCACTATGAGGAGAAAACTCTAGAGTTACAATCTCTCTTAACAAGGAGATACTCTCTCTCTATTTTTTCTCTCTCACTCTTCTATATGAGGAGTTGTTTCTGGGATGATTTTTTTCCTTAAGGATTTGGAGCCTATTTATAGTGTTTGAAAAAAACACTATACATAATAAAATATTAATAATTTTTTTGTCAATGTAAAATATTAATATTACACTGTGCATCTTTTGAAATTTCCAAACTCGGTGCCTAACCCAGTGCATTTTTCAAAAGTGGGGCCCATTCTTTTGCTTTTGGTCAAAACGTGGGCTGCTAATTTTCGGTGCTTGACAATCTCCCACTTGAAGATTTGATTGAGTGTCAATCATATCTTCACACTATTTTCTCTATCTTACCATCTTTATGTTGCTTACGTCTCCGTCAAACCACAAGAGGATCGACATCAAATAAATTTGTCAGTATTGACTGCTTTTGTCAAAAAATCTGCTAAGTTGTCTTTGGTGTGAATTTTCTGCATATCAACTGCTCCTTCTTCCACTTTCTCACGAACGAAGTGGTACTGAACTCGAATGTGTTTGGTCTTTGAATGAAAAGCTAGATTTCTTGCCAAATGCAAAGCACTCTGACTGTCACAAAATAGAGATATCTTCTTTTGTTCATGACCGAGTTCCTCCAACACCATCTTCAACCACATCGCTTCTTTACTAGCTTGTGCTACATATTCTGCTTATGTTGTTGAATTAGCCACAACTGACTGTAGTTTTAAAACCCAGCTTACAGCTCTGCCAGCAAGTGCAAACACATAGCTGTAGGCATCGAAAATTACCCATAGGTCTCCACGAACAGCTCAGTGTTAAAGAACGACGATGAACGTCACTATCCGATCCACAGGAGTTCGATTGATGTCGATGAACGATTGAAGCAAATCGACAAACTACGAAGGCACGAGCTAATCGGGAACCCTGCGGTGTTTACAAAAGGAACAACGCCCTCCATATCTCGTTCATCCTACAGATAATCCAACCATCAGAGCGGGTAGAACTCTTCGTCAGGCTTCCAACGCACTTGGAATCACTCAAATCCGAGTTCGGACGAAGAATTTACGGCGGAAACAATCAAACATACGCAACGGAGCGTCTCAGGCTGAACTGGGACACCCGGGGTGTCTCGGGAAAGTCGAAACACCCCAGGGGTGTCTAGGAAAATCCTAGACACCCCAGGGGTGTCTCGGCCAAGCCGAGACACCCCAGGGGTGTCTAGGCTTTGCCTAGACACCCCAGGGGTGTCCCGACGCCCTGTACCCCCTCTTGCCTATAAATAGGAGCCTTAGGCCTCACTTTTTGGGGATCTGGATTTTTGGAGAGTTGGGGAAGCCCTGCTGCAGTGAAGAGTGGTCGGGCGCTTCAACACAAGAGAGGTCTTCACCAGATTTGCATCACCCGTGTCCGTTCCTTAGCATTACCCTTCGCCGGTAATCCTAAGAAGAGCAAATATCTCGCTTTAGCCGAGATAGGCGCTTCAAGCTTCTAGATCTCCTCGCGGATGGACGAAGCTCTGCCCAATTTTTCTGGATCAGATCTGATTACCAGGTAGTCCACGGATATCGACGTCCCCGTCACAGGC